TTAACTTAAATAAATAAATTAAATTAATCAAATTTTATTAATAATTAATAAATTACAATCGCTTATGTCTTTGAATTAGTGTGATAATTAATTTCATCAAACTTACATCTCTGATCAAAAATTAAGTTATAATAATGACCTTATTAATTTGAAAAGAGATCACTTTAGAGAGCAATTAAGGAAAAAAAACTTTTAGAAAAAAATAATTTACTTTAAAAAGACCAATACCATTATAAAATCAAACAGCCAAATCAAATGATAAAGATTTATCTTAATATTAAAGCATATTTAAAATTATTGAGATTATCACTTATAGATATAATGAAAAATGAGCAATCCACCGTTAATTTGACTACTATTGTTTATAAAACAAAACAACCCTACTATTATCTTACAATTCTATCACTATTACTCAAACTTAGGATAATTATACACAAAATAGATAACATTTATTTATGGAAGGAATTATTCATAATCCATAAATTTAAAATAAAAAAAGCATTAATATAAATACATATAGTAATATAAACAAAAAGTCAAAATATAAAATGAATACTACCAACCTGAATAGAAAAAATAGAACTCTCAAAAAACTCCAGTTAAACAACTTCAATCCCAGACAGAAGAAGGATAAGATTTATTTATAAAATCAGACTTTAAGGCAGAAAATCAAATATTCCCATGGTAAAATGTAGAATAAGAATAACTCTAAATGTCTATTATTAACACCAATGTTAATAAAAATATAATAAAAAATAATGATATTTAGTAGCTCTAACCTGAAGCTCAGATATGCTTTTTATGTTAGAAATAATAAAAATAACATAGGTCTGAAGTTACACATGATCAAATCACATAAAACTTTAGAATAATTAAATTGACATAATAAAGTATGATTAATAAAGAATAATAATTTTTTTAACATTTAGGCTGATGTGGCGAATTAACCTCAATTAAGTCAAACATGTTGTAAGTATGCAAACAAAATAACCCACACATTATCTGCCTACAAGAAACAAGAAATAGTAAATTTAAAAATTGTCAAGACTACAATTATTTTGATAAATAAGGATTATCTAACCACTCTGGCGGAATGTGTATTGGTGTTCATAAATGCTTTGATGTGAGCGACCTCACAAATAGATTAAAAGCACCAATAAACTATGCTGATTCTGAATACTAATGCCTCAACTTAAGAAACCCTCTGATTTATATCGTGGTAATGAACTTCTACTTTCATCAAGAATCTAGTTTTAAAAAAGTTAAAAACAATATTATTCAAAATTATAATACCATATTTTTTTAATTTAATTAATTATTAATGACATTCTAATTAGAGATATATATTAAAATTTTTATGGAATTAAATTTTAGAAAAGTCAAAAAGAATATTAAATTAAAAATTTTAATTATCTATTATTTCGAAATGTAATTTATATAATATTTTAAATCTTAAGTTATTAACTATGAACTGAAAAAACTAATATTATGATATATGATATATCTATTTTTTGATTAAATTCATTCATTTTCAAATATGATTAATATATCAATGAACTTGATTTATGAGCGATCAGATGAGCTAGTCATTCGTACAAGCAGAACAAGTAAAATAGCAATTTATTAATAGACCCTGAATAATTAAGTATTAATAATAAGCTAATTGGAATGATATTCCAATTTAATTTTATAATAGTTCATTATTAATCGATATCATCGCTTTAGTATTTGACTTCATTATCAATCTATTACTAAATTTCGTTTTCCACAATCTCATCTTGTCTAATAGTTTCAATCTAAGACTCCTCTTTTAATTGAGGGATTTCAGGCAATTCTATCTTTGTCTAATTCTTGTCATCTTATATTTATTACTTTTCTTATAATTCCTTTAAAATTGATTCCTCCTCTTAATTAATTAAATAATTGATTTTTTCCAATTAAGTGATATCAATTGATTTATTCTTTAAACCAATAATAAAAATAGCATAATACTTGAGTATTGGTTATAACTACATTTTATCTTTTTTCTTAGACAAGATTGAACTATAATACGTTGTATCTGGATTTGATAAACTCAAATTATTTCTAAATTAATTGCTAACAGTACCTAATTGAATTTACATATTGTTGAAATTATTGATATCTTTAGAGTCTTTGCACCAATCTTTTTTTTTCTTTGTAAGAATGAGAATAATCATCCAATTTTAATACAGGTTCTTATTTCATAAATCGATCTGCTAATTTAATGTTTTCATGTGAAATTTATTAAGCTTAGTGTTTATGAAAAGTTTAATTTAAATTATGAGGATGATGCAGATTTTCATCTTCGTACTTATAGTAATTTTTTACATAGGTCTATTGCATATTTCTGTTATTTTTAAATATAATTAACTGTTTCCCTTATTGATGCTTTCTGATTATTCTAAATTTGTTAATATTATGATGAAAACATACCACTCAGATCAAAACGTCTTCTTTATTGTCTAAGACTATTTCTTTTTACCAAGATTTCTATATGTTACACTTTTGATTCTGATTGAGTCTTTTTCGTTTTAATTTCATTCAATTTTCAGATGAAAATCATCCGAAACTAAGCAAATAATACAAAGTTGTAGGATGGTACTTCATCCAACTTTGATGTTAGATAAATCGGCAGCGTTTTTTAAAAATACAAAAGTTATTTCAGGTTCATATGTAAGAATGAAATAAGGAAATCCAGAAGTAAAAAATAATATAAAGAAGGCCGTTCAATTTAATGAAATTACAAACAAAACTCCAGCAGAACATGAAACTAAATCTACATATACAACATCAACATATTCATATAATATAAATATTATATTGAAAGTGATGTTTATAAAGTGAAACCTTATTGGGTCAACTACTAATAAATTAGAACCCTATAATACAGGATCATTTAGATCTAGATGCCAGAACCAGATGCTCCAATTCATAAATATTCTATTCTACTTAACTTTTTAAATTTTAATTCTTACTTCTTGTTTTCTATATTCTAATTATTTTTAATTACTTTGTAATTTTTATTTATTTTTTCTTTTTATTAGATTTACTTATAAAATCATCAACATTTTCTTTTTTTCTTCTTCTTCAGCTTTTTATTTTTCATCTTAATCTTTTGTATTCTATTATTCTAAACCAAAATTAAATACAAATTTTTTTAATTTCGATTTTTTTTTGTCAGTTTTGTATTGTCAGTTAGATCTATTAAATTTGGATTATATTTTAAATCTCACTTGATTTTTCTTCAGATGTAAATTTATTACTTTTAATTTTAGTTAATTGAGCATTTTTTTGAGTTTAATTCTTTTAAACTGATTCTTTTACTTTAGGTATTTCAATTTGTTTAACATTTGATTATTCTGAATCAATAGTTTATTTTTATTAAGGTTTTCTCCTCTTTTTTTTGGATGAACTTTCATTCAATTATTTCATTTAAAGCAGTTCTTCTTCTCCAAAAACATCATCAAAATTTTAATAATGATTTGTTAAAAAGTGCTAGAGGTTAATTTTACTAATGATTTTTTCTTTAATTATTTACAATTTAATGTTTAAGATGAAAATAAAGTAGTCTGAAATAATGTTTAATTTTCGATTGATTTCTTTTAGTCGTCTTCTTACTCTGATCCAGAATAATCCTCAATATGAAACTTTTATTTGATCTTATTTATATTAAACATACAGGAGTGGTCATATATATAACAATAATTTTCAGGATTTTGTAAATCTTTATTTATTTTTTTAATTATAATTTAATAGAAGTTTGTAAATAATAATAATTTATGAATTTAGAGGATCCAAATAAATTATAATGGATATAATAATATATTCGGAAATATAGAGATCTATTAGGAATTTTAAAGTATTATTATCACAAAGATGTTTAGCCTGCAAACATCTGAAACCTAACCATTTTATAATCATATAACTCCAGCTTGTTTGGATCACGTAGACAAAATCTTAAAGTAGAGTAGATAATCAATAATGAAATGCAATGATGAGAGTTTTCAAAGCAGAAACTGTTCCTATAGCATAAATAGAAAATTATCAGATATAAATTCAACTAAAATTTATTCTGATTATTACATGATCATAAAATTTAAGTATTTTAATTATTAATAATAGAATTAACAATATCGATATCTATAAATATTTCATTTTCTGAGCATTAAAACAAATACCAATTTGATGAGGGATGAGTTGAAAGAATTTAAAATATATTTGAAGAATCTAAAATTATTTAAGAAGATAAAGATTAAAAAATTGTTAGGAAATGGTGTATTAAATAAAATTAAATATAAATTACGATGTTATTGATAATTAAATATTAGGGCAGAATGAAATAATTGAATTTGGATAGAAGAATAAATGTTTAGTCTTTATAAATATTGTTAGGCCAATTATTTAGCATAAGAAATAAAATAGTTGGATTAATTGATTTAGATGGTAAATCTTAATTAATAAAGTATAAGCAATTATTTTGATTTAGGATAATAATTAAATCACACAAGATGTAGCAATTATACGATGGTAAGTGATGATATATAAAATATGGAAGACATTAAGTTAAAGCAAACACATTTAAAACAAAGTTCGATTTCAAATTAAAATAATAAACTTTAATTTATAGACTTTATTTACGATATAGATGAGTTTTAAAATATTTAGGAGATGATTAATACACATGCATATATTTAATTGATGAAAAAGATGTATCAGCATTTGATTTTCTATGTTCTTTGGAGAATTTAATAAATAATCTGATTAGTTGGATTCATTTTTATTATTTTTTTAGCAATAGATTACAAGAATATGTTAGAGAATACGAATCTCAAAGCAAGACTTTGTGGGTTTGTAAAGGATCAAAGAGAATTGTATCAATTTTATTAAATAATGAAAAAAAAAATAAAAAATAGATGACATAATATAAAAACTTGTTTAATCTATAATATAGGGAGTAATTTAGTTCTCCCCTCAAAAATTTTGCTTCAAAATCACTGATTCAAGGGTTGGATTTTAGTTTCTCATGGCTCTAATCAGGAGGCTTTACTGCTCCTATTCTTACTTTCTACTGGAGTTTTAAGCTATATTGGCAATTAGTCTATCTAATGTGTATTGATTCCATCATATCCTGGCTTAGGGAGAAATTGATTTTATTTTACTATTTAAATTTTGTATTTATTATTCACACATCACAATTGAATGGATCTAAATATTTTGATATTATAAATAATTAGTAAAGTATAATGATTCATTCAATATCAAATTAAATAACACTCTGTTATTCTTTGCTCATGTATTTTCGATGCTATAAGAAAAGCAACTTTTATTTGAGATCTTTCTATTTAATCCTCATTTATTTATCTATATATTTTGCAATACTTTAAGTAATCATTGTGAAAACTATACTTATACATATTAATCCTATGAAAAAGAAATTATTTTGGTTAAATTAAATTCATAATTGTAATCTTATTGGATTATTGAATTAAGACTTTAAATAAAAATATTTAGATTTTTAAATATTATAAAATATTTTAATTTAAAAGTCTAAATATAATAATATTCATGTTGTTAATTATTGAATCAATTAATAAAGATAGATAATCTTTACTTAAAAAAATTCATAATTGTTCCCTTTTCATTTTTGAGGGCCATCTCAAAAACAATCACTTTTTATCTATAAGCCTTCCACTTGCCCAACTGCAAAAGATGAGAAAAATAATGTCTAAAATAAATAATGAATATTCTAATACATTCAGTATGTGGGAGTATCAAAAAAGAATAAATAGTTTAAATTGACTTGCCGATCATTCCATAATTCTTTTGATTGACTTAGCATTTAAGTTAATTTTTTTTAATTTAGCCATTATGTAACCAACTAATTTACAAAAGATGTTTTAAATAAATTTAAAATTGATATATTATTTAAAAAAAATGGAAAATTAGATATTAGGTACTCTTTTTAGTAATATCATAAAACTTTCTCTAAAAAAAATTATTGATTTTGAATTGCAGTCGACATAAAATGAAAATCTATTTATTTATACTGAAACCAAGATAAACCTGAATTAATATCTTATAAGATATATTTTTAATTTAATAATACTCATTTTTCTGTATATTTCCATATTTATATTTCTTTAGATGATTGAACCTAAATAATCAAATACTCTCCGTCATCACTCATTTACCCGAAGAAACAATAATCATTAAATTGAATAGATTACTCAACTTTAACTTCATCATTTTATGTAATTCTTATTAAATTGATGTTTTTGTCGTGTTTATTTAAAACTAACTATTTTTATTTTATATATTATTATTGGAAGTATATTTTATTATCGTTGCCACTTTGATTTAATGGAATATTTTTAGTTTTAGTGAACTATTTACTTACATTATTCATCTCATAAACATGCATTTAATTTCCTTTTTTTGGTTAAAATGTGAAAAGATTATCTTTGATGAAGCATATTCGAAATCCACAACAATCAACATTAACTTTTTATATCACTATCCACTTTTTATTATATTCTTAATATTCTATTATTAATATTAATTGGTCATATCCACATGATATAACTCTATTTTATTATTCATTTAAACTTAATTAGAAAACTTAATTTTTATGATCTACAATAGTTTATTAACAAATCCATCCATTTAAATTGATCCAAAACTTAATTGTAAAATCACTACTACTTGAAATAATAATATCTTCATTATTATTAATAATTAAGCAGTTTATTCTATCATAATGTTCTTTAAGGATATATTAACAAATCCATTAATTATTTTTATTTATTGACCAAATAAAAATAGATCCATCCCCATTTCCAGATATCAATTAATTGAATTTTTACATGAAATGTAAAGCAGTCACATAAGTTTTTTGCTGTTCGTTTAAGACTTGATTTAATTTCAACTTTCCTTACCTAAATTCATATATTTTTATTAATTAGTTACCTGAAGCTGCTACAATTGAACAATCTTTATTAAAAGCAACTGCATAACAAGATTCCTGTTATTAAATGGAATTCTTTTTAACTTTTTAATAAGTAAATGGTTTGATATTAAATTAAGACATCTACTAAATTGATTGATATTATTCTTGTTTTAATAATGATAGTTAATAATTTATTTATTATGATTATTAGTCATCTTAAGGTAATTATTATTGAACTTAAAATTTTATTATAGTATTGTCTAATTATGTTTCTTCTTTAACGTTCTCTTATTCAACAGTAGATTTACCGATTTAATCAAATTAATTCATTTCCTTTTTTATGTTTTCAATAAAAGCCTAAACTTCTTAATATAACCATTTCCTTGTCTTATCTAACTTCATCAAATAAAGGTCTTTCTAAGTATTCCATAAATTTAATGTGCTTCCTTGAAATATTTATACTAATTTTTCTAGGTCAAGCTCGGAAGATTCTGCTAAATTCATATTTTCATTGATAAGATTAATGAATTATTTATTTTCCTGTTCAATCATATCTAAATTATAGTTTATCTATTCTGTTATATTTTCCCAAATGTTCTTCATCATACTCCCTATTTGAGAGAGCACGGATGTAAAATTAATTCTCTAATTGGTTTAATCAAATGTCTCATCTAACTTAGATTCTTTTAGTTTCTTAATAACGATTTCTCCAAATCTATCAATCTTGTTTGACATCTACTTCATGCTCTTAAAAGCATTTAGCACATAGTTTTCTTTTACATTAACACTTATGAGAAGCTATACATATAAATGATACTTGTTCTGATCTATGATTAATGCAATTCATAATTTAAAAAAAATAATGACTACTTGTGTCTAAATTTATACTATGAATCAAACAGTATCTTTTTTATATTTTTATAGAAGAAAAACCAGCATAGGAGTTTATTGTAATTGATGTTGAATTGACTAATGAGAAATCAAATCAACATTGACAAAGCTTAATAAAGAATAATTGATATATTTGTATAAAACAATAAATTTATTAGCAATCAATATCAAGAATGTTTCTTCTTTGATGAATGAAAATTATTATTATTCTCTGTAGTATTCAATTTATATCTTTAATCATCTAATTCCATCCTAATCTAATAAGAAGTCATTTAAAAAAGAATATATCTTTTATGGAATAAAAATAGTTATTAGTAATTAAATGCTCGAGTGGAAGGTCTAGGTTTTAGGAAAAAGTTCGTTAGAATAACACTTATTTTTCTATTTAATAAAAATCTTAGTAAACTAAGGATATAAATAAATTGAGAAATGAATATTACTCTAATAAATGATTTCTAGTTTTACAAATGACTTTTTCTTAAGGGAATTTTGATATTAAAATCAAAATTACATCTAAGTAGCACTTTAATTGATATTTTATCTGCCTTTCATATCTGTTATTTATTCAGAGATATTATTTCACATCTTAGGATTATGTCAACAGCTAAGACAAAATTTCTAAGGGTTTTTTTCGAACGACATTAAAAATTCTTTTACTCTTCTCTCAATATACTTAAAAGTTATTTCTTAATTCTCAATTAAGGAATAAATCTAATAATATTTTCAGAAAATTTATATTAAAGACATCACTAATATAAATAAAAACTTAATTCTGATAATAATAAATGTATTTTCTTTATGTATATGGAAGGAAATCTATCAAAAGCTTTAAATATAGAATTCCTATTATCATTAACAGTCATTATGATTAATTATAGCTTTAAAGGAAGATTGTTTAAATGAGTTTTGGATGTTTTCATTTTATTGTTTAAAAATAAGATTTAGACATAAAATTTAATTTAACATAAAATTATTTTCAAATGGGTTTGGGTTTGCCCACTAGTAGGTTTAATTCAGCAGTCA